CAACAAAATAAACATTTAAATAATTAATTGTTAAATATTAATACTTTTCTTTTCATAAAAATTACAGCAACCCAGGAATCAAAACTCTGAATTCAGGGAAAATCCAAAACAGCAATCCAGGTTGCAACCTCCCGAGTTGCAGAATTTTCAACCCAGTCTTAACACCAACTTTTATGCTAGTGTGGCAATAACATGCAGCAATCATCACACAAATGCTGATATTCATGCCCATATGGTGACATCCAAGCCTGATCTGAGAGGGAAATAAGGGAATGTTTTGCCCAAAGCCTTCCAACATGTGTGGAACCTCTCTGTGGAAAGAAAAATCCATGGTTATAGGCGTGCTTAATTGCACCGCATTGCATGTTGGTGATAGGAAAATTTAATTAAATCTGACACCTGTGATCAACATCAGATTTATTATTCATAAGGAACTACACAATGGGAACCACAATTGATAATCAGGAAAAATAATTTATTTTGTGAACCCCAGAGATCTGGGTAGACATGCATTATTAAAAGTTTCATTTATGCATGGCCTTGGTATCATTACTACCTGGGTGATGCAATTGTTTGTTATGCCAATTATAACATCAAATGTATTGAATAATCATCATGACCATCATGAATATTTGGTGGATGGAGGCATTCACATACAAGGAAATGGTTAAATAGCTAAGTCATGTTTGTTTTATTAAAGATATATAATTAATTATATAATAAAAAAAAAAATTGCATGGAAATCAAGGCTACACCACTATGCCAATCAAACTATCAGGCTGTTATGTTTGTGCATGATTTGAAATTCTTTTGTGTTAATTTAGGGTCCATCTTTCATTGCTTATATATAATCTGTTGGTTCTCTTTTTACTGGTCAAATGATGCCAAATTGGTAATAGGGCATCAATCAGATTTCAGAATCTGATATCTGACCAATATTCTTTGAAAAAATAATTAAGGTATTGGCATACTAATAAGTTAATAATATTCTTAGTATTTTATCATATAGTCTAAAAGCCTATTAGTAAATATTGAAGGTATCAAATATTTAATATTTTTCCTATTTTTAGCCCAAAAACATGGAGACAACATAATGGATACATATCAGGAAAAGGTACAGCAGGCCTCAGAGAGAATCTCAAGATAGTGCATTCAAATAAGCAGAATCCTACAAACAAAGAAAAAGACAAGAATCTCAACCAAATAAAAAAAGCAAATTTACTGACTGATCCAGTGCTTGCATTAACTCAACTTCGATTATGGGCAAAACTTGATGATGCTGAAACTTTATTTTCTAAAATTTTTTTAGTTACAGAGCTTCTCTGGTTATTGTGGGCATTTGGAGTACAAACAACTAATAAGAGAAAAAATGTACTAATTCCTTTAATTGTTGACCATTTAAAAACAAGTGTTTTTCCATGGAATAAAATTATTTTAATGTCAATAATATTTGCAATTCTTAATAAATAAAAAGAGTAAAAATTAATAAAAATGCCATTTTTATCCCAATCAAGATATAATTTGACAGGCATAAACCTTTCAACTTTTTTAACATAACTTTAGTGTATCAGCTGCTTAAAAACACTTGTGTATATGTAATGTTTAATTTTTTACTATGAAATGCGCATCATTTTTAATTTTTAAGGCGTGACAGTTTTGGATTCACAAGATCTAAATGTGTAACATTGAGTTGTCCCCCCATTTATTTACTTACCCCTAGATAATACAAACATCAACAACAACAAAACAACGATGACAACAAGGAAATGCAAAATTTCATAAAAATGATCACAATCGGCAAAGGAAACAAGTGTCACTGCGTAATTTTTTTTCCTAGTAACAAACAATCATTCGTCACCATCACTACAAAATTATAAAAGAAAATTTAATGAAGAACCACCATCACCTTATAACCTTTATACAGCTCACCAACAAATACCACTTACACTCCCACAACTAGAATGTTAATTTCTGCAAAAGATGTCTATATCACCCAGAGGAATAAAGGTCATAAACCAAATGAGTGCCCTAATATCCTTCCAAAATACACCGGCAAATGTTTTTATTGTTTAAGTTCCAACCACTATGCAAATAATTACGCAAGTATGGAATAAGGTAAAATGATTTACATCTTCAAAGATGGTTATGTTCCTCCAGACTCTCTTTTAAATTTATTTATACACGCAAGACTTCTTTTTGTGGAAAAAAAAAATACCAAACGGGGGGTGGTTAATTTATTTTTAAGAAAAGACATTTTTTTATTTATTTTATTAAAAACCCCATTTTTTTTATTTTTAATTTAAAAAAAATAAAGATTTTTTGCCTTAATATTGTTAATATTGTTACTGGAATTAGAAATTGATAATAATAATATTTTAGGCGAAACATGCAACATTGTGAACTAATCCACATAATTATAAATTAAATCAAAGAAAATTTTAGATATTAATTAATCAGCTTCATTATCATGAGATTGTTTTTTGCATATATATATATATATAAATGACCTATTTTTTTCACAGATGTTGCCAAAATTAGGGTTTTATGCCGATTTGTTGTTGAAATACCTAATTTCCGAATCAAATCTTTTATTTGTATTTTTTACTTTATTAACACAAGTAAGAAACGAAAACATTTGCATGCCATGACCACCTTCCAAAATCAGTAAGGTGATTGACCTTCGTGCAGGTTTCTCACCGATTGTCTCATTTTGCATAAAATTAAAACCCCAATTTAGTAACAAACATTTTGACTTCACCTGTTTTCTTTGTACGTACGTAAACAATTGATTGGTTAATTCAAATTCCAGTGAAGACTGATTGGTAAAAAAACGCGTTTTTTAATCTTTTTGTATTAATATGTAAATCAAATAAAATGTCAACGCACTAAAAGAAAGTGTGACAAAAAGATTAAACGAAAAAATACAGTTGATGGTGGAAAATTTATTAGAACATGCAAAAAAACCTTTTATTTACGCGTTTATAATCATTTCGTCGACATTCGTTATATTAAGGTTATTTTGATTATATCAAGAGATATGGTCAAGAGAAGAGTTAGGAAGAGAGGTATTTTTCAACCAAGTTGAAAACCAACCCTTTAAATACATTTTCGAATAGTACAATTTTATTTATTAGACTATTTCAAAGGTTTGTCGCATGGTTGCTTCCAACTTCTTAAATTCGAACCATTTGTGTTGACGAATGAATCAAACGTTTTTATTAACATTTATTTTTAAATTCATGATTTTGATTGGTCAATCAACAATTGCGTGGGTTAAAATTTTGTGCCATCAGAACGGTCTCTCCTGTAATAATGTTGTATAACGACAAATGATTTCATGGTTTGAACGTAGTGTGCGCATTCGTAAACTTGAATTTTAACTTGATCTCTTGAAGATGGATAGGGACATAGTAGCTGAATGTAGAAGGTTGAGTTCCGTGCGCTGAAATAGCTTGAGGGGAATTTCTCTACGAAAAAAAAAAGTGGAAACGGCTGTCCTATTCATATCTTTTGGATTTAATAGCATAGACTATTGTCTTGACCCGAGTGATGTCTTTTTTTTTTGCTCTTTGCGACAAAGAAGGAGCAAAATCTAACTTAAAATAAATGAATTTTTGTTCTCGCATAGCACAGCAAAGTGGTTGTGTAATGCATAAAAAAAGTAAAAGCTCGCTTGTTTTATAAAACAGGTTGCAATTGCAATTGTAAACAAAAATCTTTGTTTTTCAAACCTAATTTTTTAGGAAGGAATTTTTTGTTTTCGCTGGGTGGTAAATTTCAAAAAAAAATTTTTTTATTTTTCTGAAATCGATCTACGTGACTCTTTTTCTTTCTTTGATGATAAACATTTATCGTGCAATAGTAATAAATATCTTTTTTTTCCAACCGATGAGAACTGTTTGGTAAAATAAAAAAATTTGTTTATTCTACATTTAAGAGCTATTTAATTTCAATAATTGAATTCATTGTTGTTTTTTATTTTATCAGCATAGTGGACATTTGATTTCATTGACTATATTTTGTGACGATCTCCCTTCCAGATATCACGTAAAAATTAAATTTTATTGGCTTGAAGATCATTACGCAAATTTGGGAGGGAAGGAAATTTAGTTTCAAATTGATAAAAAAAAAATGTTTATAATAAATAAAAAAATTAATATAGAATT